TGACCCAGCGTAAAAATGCAAGCCCACTTCTTGCATCCATGTTTTGTGTAGGAATTAAAAATACATATATTTAGAACTTTAAAACCCTTTCTCTGAATGTTTGGCAGTTTTTAAAAACTGACCTGTGGATGCTGCTCTGCTTTACCCTTTTGGCTTGACTTCCTTTGAGCATTCATGTGGTTGCGTTTTACAGGAGTAAGTAGGAAGCAAATGGTAACTTTGGGAGTGCGGGACAGCCAGTTCTGAGGGGTCCTGCACCACAGGCTTGTGTAAGTTTGCTTGCAGTAAGTTTTTCCAGTTCCATGTGATAGCAGTTGCTTTTGGGTGGGATATGGCAGTGGCTGCTGCTTTGTTCTCACAGTTGGAGGCTCCTCTTCAGCTGATTGAAATGCTTTGGGGTTGCACAACTGCTGCTGGAACATTGCACTTTAAAGACTAACTGCTAGGGAAAGAGCCATGACTCATCATGAGGTCCAGGGCTTGTGGTTCGGGAGCAGAAATGAAGCTCAGCTGGATCACAAAGCTGGCAGAGCTACTGCTGGACTGTTTTCAGGGAGCTCTTCATGACATGAAACTTCCCTGCAGCTTTGCAAAAGCCTGCTTTAAACATTGCCAAGAATGGATGTAGGTAGGAAATTGCAGTTGTGCCCATGTTATGGGCACAAACCATCCAACGTTCTCAGATGAAGTGTGATAATTTTACTGATAGTATATTTAAGTTTCCTGCAAGGGCTAGAACCTAGGCATCATGGTGGAAAGCAGTTCATGTGGACTTAGTAATGCTTGGAGAATTGAAGTGTACACGCAGCTTGAGGTTTCTCTGCTCCTGTTGTTAGTTTTGTTAGCTGGCTCTAGGCAGTTTTCTGAATAATTTTTTGGAGGTGTTCCAGCTCTCTTCAGAGGTTGATACCACATTTTTATCAGTTATCTTTAAAATCCCCCAACAGACTAGCAGCATGTGCAGTGAAGGAGCCTGTATGGATAATACCAGAAGTTTGCCATCAGTTTCACTTTCCTTCAGTAGCCGTTTTTCCTTCACCCCTTCCCACTTTCCTGATGGCTGATAGCCTACATTCTTTACTGAGTTATTTCACAATGCTAGAATTAGAGTAAACAGTGTCCTTAATAATAAGCCATTTTCAAAGTTGCATAACTGAGCTGGATTGTATTTAGGAACCTTAGTCTCAAAATGATGGACAGTTGGAAAGAAAACTTCTGATCCCATTGTGAGTATGACTTTTTATAATGGAAGGGATTTTGAATTTAGAATATTTTCAGAGCAGACAGTGTCTTTTAAAATATCTGCTTTCTGAGTTTTAGCACTAGATAAACTTGAGGCGTGTTTACATGTTTAGTATTATTTTATTGTCTGTAAAATTATTTCTATTCATAAAGGTAAATGTAGTGAACATTGTTACTAGAATTTGCATACAGCACCTATGTCAAAAGTATTTGTTTTTTGAAAAAAAACTCCAAACCCTAGGTATCTAATACTTTTATATATATGATCCAAGACATTTTCTTTTAAGGCATATAGTGTAGTTTTTGGAGTGCCAAAAGGCTCTTATATCATACTTTTATACTTTTCATGCATGTGTGAAGCTAAACCTGTAAAGACTGAGTTTGTGAAACATTTAATTCCACACAGTCTCAGTTTTATGAAATGAAGATATAGAGCAGAAAAAGGCTTTAGTGTCCTGAATACAAATTACTAGGATTTTGCCCTTGCTTTAAGTTCCTATACATCTTTAGGAGCAACAGCTGCCTTTTGGTTACTGTGTACCAAAAAAATAGCATAATTAATAATTATATATTAATTATATATATAATTAATAATTATTAATTAATTCTGGCCAAAAAGTAGCATAATTAATATTCTGACATCTCAACAATTTTCAGCCTTATGTGAACAGCAAAGAGTGTTTGCTTTAGGTCTCTTGATCAACAGATATTGATAGAGTTGCTGTGATGTATGTGAAAAAAAATAATAGGTAGTGCTTCCTCTATATTGTTCTCAAAACTGTATTATGTCATTTCTACAGGTATGATTTCAGTATAATTCTAGGTAATTTTAATTCTGTTAATGGAGTTTCATACAGGTAGTGGAAGCCATTTAATGTGATGAACTGTGTTGTTTTTATCAAAGATGAAAAATATACTTGGATATGTTATGTTGAAGCATTAACATTTTTCTGTATGTAGAACTCCCAAGAGAGAGTTGAGCATCCCTGTATTATGTCTCATTTTTTGTACTGATGTAACTGCAAAACTGCTGCACATTGGTTTGAGTGCAACAGCTTCAGTAGGGATGTCGTTTCATGTACATAGTGTAGAATTCACCTGTGCATCAGTATAGCTGCAGCACCTTAAAAAAGGTCATTAACTGGACATACATGTTGGCTATAGGTGTAGAGAGACATCATGGCAGGATCTAGACTAAATCTTGACAAGTGAGCTCACGAACCTCTTTGTTCAAAGTTACATGAGAATTTCACCTGCATCTTACTTCTTTAGGAAATATTCTGCTTCAAATAGATATGCACCCTGCAGCAAAAAAAAGCAGCAATTGGTTGAAAGAATTAGGTAAAATGCTCAGGAAAGCCAGACTCATGATTTCCATCAACTTGACCAGAATTAGGGTCAAGATCTCTTCTGTTTGCATTATGGTACTGTGCTACTGTATTAAATCATTGTCAGCAACTTCCATTGAAATATATTGCTTTTTTGAAGTTTGCTTAAGCAAAGAGTTGCTTAAGTTTTTACTCTGATCCATCTTCAGACCTTTATGCTTGCAGCTTACTTGTTGAGAGATGTAGTGAATGGAGAAAACTCCTTTCTATTCCTGTCGTTACTTGCAGGAACATATTGTCTATCTGAATCAATAGCTTGTTCAATTCTAATTTATCCATGTGTCTTGTGCTTTTATCACACACCATTATGAACTCCACATTATCAAAACAGAGCAAGGAACTGGACAGAGTTAAGAAACCACAAGAGGGAATACCAAGGACGGGACAAAGTCTGACAAAAATTGCATGGCTTGAATAAGGTGCTGGCGCAATGATTGGAGGGAATAGGACATTATGGCAGCCAGGGAATATCCAAGATATTTAAGAAGAAAGCAAAGGAATGGAGTGTGCCATCTTCTGTATTCTAAGTTATATTTTCAGAAGTGGAGGCTTTTACTTGACTGTAAGGGAAAATTGATAAAAGCACAAGGAATGAGCCTCCCAAGGAAGGGAGGAAAAGCTCCTTCACCTGAGAGTCTGGGAATTTCAGAGGATAAAATATACTGTCAATGACAAGCTCTAATGTCCAGGAGTTTGGCTAATATTTATCTTCTACAGCTCCTGTGCTTCTTGAGTTATTCAGATCCTTTCCAGCTTACACACTCACCAGTTGCATTGAAACCCTTTGGATACATGGGATAAGTAGTATTTGGCTGCACGTTCTTGACTATTTTAAGTTTCTAAGGATGTGGTTCCACATTTGGTGGTCTTATGTGGAAAAGAAGCTTTAGAATACTAATGCCTGGTGTAAATCATTCTTTTTTGTAAATGTTTTGCAAATACATGCCTCAAAACCAGGCAGTTAATTTATATTTCATTAGCAACTGAAAAATTTTAATGGCAAGCTGTACCAGCAAAATGCTTATCAATCAGCAATTGCAAATTAATACTTTAAAAAATGTTTAGAGTTAGACTTTTACAGCAATAAAGTTTTTGCACTGGGATAACAGCAAATTTAAGGGTCAGAAAACTGATTTTGAGGTCCTAATACATACTCAGAAACTTAATTTTGAATGATCTTTCTTTTTAATTGCAATTGAAAAACGTTTAAAAATTAGCAGCATAGCTTAGATACAGTTATCTATTTACCTTTATTTCTGATTGTTGATTTCTTAATTTTTTTTTTTTTTTTTTTACCCAAGTGTGCAGTTTCTTTTTTTTTTTTAATTTAATGGGATTTTTTTTCTGGAGATTTAGACAACTACAGTACAGGCTCTAGAGCCACTTATTTTCTGCCTAAACCAAAACAAGAAAGTGACATGGATGTTTTGATGCTGATCACATTTTACAAGTGTACAGTTCTAGCAATGATGTATCTTTTTCAAAACAAAAAAATGTTGCATGTTTCATAGTTGACTAGTACAAGCAGAAATTGATAGGTAATTAAGATTAATGGAAAAGCCCATGAGACTTAAGGAAAAAAAAAAAAAAGGGATAAATAGATAATGAAGACCTTTCCATGATTTGGAAGCTCTTTTTAGGTATGAGAGACTTCGATTAAAAAAAGAAAACAATTAAAAATTTACCAAATGTTACCTAATTCTGTGTGTTAACTTTGCAGATTTTTTTTGTTGTTGTTGTATCAAGCAGAGCCTTCAGCAAGTAGTTTATTTAAATTTAGAGCACTTGTCCAGCAAGACTAAGTTGACAGTCAGAATAACAGAATCAGGCCCTGTAGTACGTGCCTGTAGAGCTCAGCTGATTCATCTCATGGCATTTTATAAATTTTATTCCTAAAGGTTTCTTGTTGAGGACATTATTGGTTTGAGTGCTGTTAACAGCATTGGAGTACCAGCTGATTCTTTTGTAAATTGACATGCTTACTAGAGTTATTTTAAATAACTTTCAGATTCATTATAGTCATTATTTCAATGACATATTATTGAAACAATGTGTTCAATGCCAATATTTAGGAAAACCCCCATAATTACAGCAATTACAGAAGAAAATTTCTAGTCTGCAGAGCTTCATTCTTATAAATATAGGGAGAGTTTTGCATATTATACCTAAACTACACATGTAAAATAACCTTGCTAAATTAAAGAGCAATTACTTGGTTTATCATTGTTTGCCTTAAAAATATCACCATGTTGAAAAAAGGAAAAAGAACTTGTGGGGCAGGACTTTACACACTGACTTTTTGGAGGACTGTTGTTATGAATATCACCTAAGCTCAATGGATAATCAATTAGATCTATGCTTTCTTTGCAGCTCTTTCCAAACACTTTTTTCTCCGAGCCCCGCCATTCTACTCAGCATGCTGCGGTGGGTCCTGTCAGCACCCTGCATCCCCCACTGCTTTTCCAAGTAAGTTTTTATGCTTCATCAGTAATGCTTGAGTTATTCTGTAAACCAAAGCAGCAGGATTTAATGTGTTCTGGAAAACTAATTGGTGATGCAATGGCAGCGGCTAATTCCTTAGTAAAATCACAGCAATTCTATTCAGAGGGTTTCCAAAGATTTATCAAACTTAAGTACACTGAGCAATTGTGCGAGGATTCTAATGGCATTGAGACACCCAGACAGAGCTAACCTAGGAAAGTGCCTTATTTTCAGTTTGCTAGAAACAATTCTTTAAAATCAGTAACTCTTTTAAAAATCAGTGTCAATAAACATTTGCAAATAAGAAAAGAGCTGGAGGATCGTAAAATGCGTGCTGCATTTTAATGTTTGTTGGGGGTAAATTATGACTCGGGAAGCTTTAGCATTATTTAAATACAGCAATCATTCTTTTTGTAGCAGTCAAATGTGTACACATGTTTAATTTTGTTTCTCTTCTTTAATCATAATGCAAAATATTGAAGAAGTATGTTGAAGAGAATTTTGACCAGTGTTCGCTATCCATTTAGGATTAAGAATCCATTTAATCCAAAACTAAATTTAATCTTGATTGGGAAGACTGCATGCCATAGTTTAAGAATGGAAAGTCAAGATTTTGTGCTTATGGCTCAGGAATTAAAACAGAAGGAGCATTTCCTCTTTCTTCAAAACAGGAAAAAAAAAAAGCACAAATTGCTTGTCAAATCCAAATGGAAATTGGAGCTTATGTGTGCTCTGCGATATACTTTTTTATCACAGTTGCATTCAAGCCATTCCTGACTAAAGTGCATGCTTTTTATTAATGTTTCAGAAGGGCAGTTGCTAAGTTGAATGATTCTTGACAAGTGAGGCAGCAAATGCTGGCAGTTTAATGAGCTGCAAGTTTCTGAGCACCTCTTTAGGGGGCTGACACTTTCCCACAGAGCGTTTTACATGGCCTCGGCTCTCCCACAATGGCTGACAGCACCATGACCAATCACCACTTTCACTTTACTCATCCACACGCGACCTCACCACAATTTTTCACTGTGCAGATGAACTTTAGGAACCATTTCACATTGAAAAGGCCTGGGCAAGGGTCAGTTGCCCTTTTGTATGGCCATAAAGCAATACTCTATGTGCCAGTCTTTTCTCCTGTCTCACATTCCAAGAGATTTTCTGGACACCATTTAAAGCACTTGACTGAAAAATAAAGCAGTGAATGAAACTGACTTTTATAGACTCATTCTAGCTCATCTTCCCATATAACCCTGTCTACCTGAAAAGGGATTTAGTGGATGAGCTGAGTGTATACAGGGACTTGCTGAATACATCGGCCCATTATCAACTGTGGGGATTGTTTATTAACCAGGACTGATACACTACTATTTTGGAAGTGACCTATTAATTGTCCATTTAACTAGAATGTATTGAATTCTAATGAAAAAATGGAAACCATGACTAAAGCTTTTACTTGCTCCTTCAAGGTGGTCTCTGCCATGAAGGCAAATGAAGATTGTTCCACAGATTAAGAGGACATTTATCACTATATATTAGGATACAAAGGAAAGACTTAACAAAAATCAAATCAGTAACATAGGAAATAGTTGGTCCCATTTGTGTCAGCAGAACACTAAACCTACTGCATGTTCAGAGTGACGAGCTGCAAACTGACTAATTTTGCATATTAATTTTATTAATTAATATTTAATTATTTAATTTAATATTTAATTTTGCTGGAATTGTTGAAATGTATAAATGCCTGCCTATCCTGATGCACTGAAAACTCCTGTAATCAGCTGACTGAAATTTAGTTTTTCTGTAACAGTTGGCGTGCATTTTAGAGTATGGCTTATCTAAAAAAATATTCTCTAGGCTACTCGGTTGGTCGTAGGTTTTAGATTTTTTGCTCCATAGGCTGTTTGTTAATGCTTTTGAGCATTCTGCTCATCATTAAATTTTGTTCAGTTAATCTTTTAAAATCCATCACATACTGTGCCTTACTGTGCAAAGATGCCTCACTATTAGTCTAATATAGGTGTTAACCTGGACCCTACATACTGCCTGTACAGGAATTAATTGGTGCCTTGAGGCTCCAGCAGGAGGTTGTTTCCTTGCTGATTGACTGTTAACAACCAGCCAGGCAAGACAAATTTTAAGGGGTCACATAATTTGGCGTCCTCTGTCCTTGGCTGACAACTCCATTGTGGAACGGAGGCCGGGAGGCAAGGACCAGCCCTGTTACGCCTCTTCCCGTGCTGGTGTCTCTCATCCCACAGTGGGGATGAGAGAAGGTACCAGTTCTGCTGCTGGTTCAGACTGTACCTTCCAGTAAACCTGAGAATGGCTGACAATTCAGCAGAAACTACTCAGAGGCTGCCTGGAAAAAGGTACTTAAATTCACTAAGTTTGAGAAGAAAGAGCGAAAACATGCTTGAGGAAGGAAGGCTCCCAGCTTGCTCCCAGTTTTGTAGGTGTGATTGGAGCATGCAGTGGGGGTTATGAAGATACTCTGCAGTCTCCAGAGAAATATCATCCTGGCTTGCCCTTCCATTGTGAAATTTTGACTTTTGTTCTGCAAAATCTTTTGCAGATTGTTTGTTTTGGTTTGGATGAAGTCTGACTGTGTATCACAGTGTAATAAATACCAGGACATTAACCAGTAGGTTATGATTTTGTATCTGGTCTTAAATATAATTTTGAGAATTGAAGTACATCTGTATGAATTAACGATTATTTATACTGTAACATTGCAAATCATAATAATTATTTTTACCACACGCTGTTATGAGTGACAGATAAAAAGATCTTGATTTCTTGACATGAAAATTTCAAGTAAAGAATTGACAGAATGCAATGTCAGTAAATTGTAAATTACCTAAATCAGTAACATTTCACAGGGGTAGTCTTATTTTAGGGAGTAATCATTGTACACTTGCTCAGCTTCTGATGCTCTGCTTTACTGGTCAGAGCTGGAAGCAGGATGCAGGGGCAGTGTAAGTAATATCAATATCATATGTTACCAGTAACACATGGCTACAAAAGTATTTAGTCAACTTTGCAAGACATACAGATATACACTTCAGTTTCTCATCATTGTACTACAATATCCTCAGTATATGTGTGTTTGTTTTTCTGTGGGTGTTTAAAGATACATATACCCATGTGTATATATGTATAATATACAGAAGTTGAAATGTGGTGTAGCCCCAAGAACAGTTTGTGGAAGCTGCATCTGGATTTTATGAGTATTTTCAAGAGCACTATATCAATTGAAAAAATGTATTTAATTTACCCTCCCCACCCCATTACAGATGACTAGAATAGATAGACTTCTACACAAAAAAAATGTTTAGTATTTTAGAAAATCTGCTATTCAGGGAGAATTTGCTTTTGGCTTTGATATGAAAATGGTCAGATCCTTTGTAGGAATTGAGCAGCAGCACACCTTTGCAGCTGCCTTAACTATAAGCTGGGGTGGCAATCTAGGCCCATGGACCTGAGAAGGTAGACAGAAGGAGGACAACTTGCATCTGAATTGCCACTCCTACAGCAAGATTGTAGGTGTCAGTGGCTGTACAGCCATGGCACAGGTTTCTGAGCCAAAGTGCAGCTGTTTCCTGGCCTGCTTGCATCTCCCTAATTATCACATGCTGTGCTTGATGACAGGCCCTATTCAAATGATCCTGGCTCCTGCTTCCTGAGTATTTGAGGAAGCTGGGTGCACTGGAAGCATATGAAGCCTCACCAAGGACTGCTTCTCATACACCATATCTTTCTGGGGGAGAGGGAGCATGGGAAAGCACTATGGCTTTAGCTTTTATTGGGTGTGAGGAGCACGAGAGACTTATCCTGGGGTTTCTGTGCTCTTTGTGTGAACACTTCTACTTCTTCACTGCAGCTGTGTCCCCCAGCTTTCAGGCTGTTTTCCAGGGTAGGGCTCCCTCTAGGCATGCATTAAGGGGATGTGATTGGATTCACTGAAAGCTGCCCTCCCAGGACTTGCTATGAGATGTCAAAGGATTAGAAACCAGGCTGAAAGAAGTAAGTCCAAGTACTCTCCACATCCTCTAATATAGGAATTTCTGTAGTTTCCAGAATAACTAAGTGAATGACCATGGATTTTCTGAGAAATAGATCACTCTGAAACCCTTTCATTAGAAAAAAAAAAAAAAAAAAAGCCTACTTAGTTTCTTTGAATCACTATTGAATCACTATTACAGACCACTTTTATCTCATTTTACATTCCACACAAGGAGTAAATAAACTCATAGGAAAACATGTTGCAGTTTACTTAGTGGTGATGACCGGCAAAGAAAAGTGAAGTTCCCCCCGACTGTATTTGAATTTTGCAGTAGCATGGGCTCTATCCTAATATTCCTCTATGAACTTATCTGATTTTCTTTGTACCATGTCAGGGGGAGACTCTTGAGTGTTGTCAACACCTCTAGATCCAAGTGAGGATTTAATCCTTAATGAGAATGACTGAAGCATTACAACACACTTATAACACCAACAAATTAAAAGTGGGACAAAAGTCTGCAAACACTATAATGAACAGCACTTAATATTTCTCTGATATGTGCTAGATGTTTTGGGAAATTCTCATCTCTTTCCAATAGGGGAGGAAAGTGTGCTGCCTCTTCTGACCCAGGAGTCTAGCTCCAAATCCCGGAGAGGCATATTAAGAAGAGCTGTCTTTTCTGAAGACCAGAGGAAAGCTTTGGAGAAAATGTTCCAGAAGCAGAAGTATATTAGTAAAACAGACAGGAAGAAACTGGCCCTTAACCTGGGTCTAAAGGAGTCTCAGGTAAGAAATGTACTTTTGGGGAGAAATCTTTAAAATGGCTTTGAAGGAGGAAAATTGAACAGGAGCAGGTGCAGGAGCAGCCCTGAGCTCTTTTATCTGCAAAGACCTCAGTAAATCAATGGCAGTTTAAACCAGGGAATACTTGAACAGTTTCCTGGTTTATTTCCTGTATGTATGCATTCAAAAATTGATGGCTCCATTTTCACACAAAGAAACATGACCTCTGCGTTTCATTTCCAACTAGCTTTTTATTTTGCTGTCCAACAGAGCCCTCTTGGAAGCTTTGGGGTAGGGAATTATGCTCCATCCCACTGCTCTAACGGCAGTGGAAAAAACATGAGAACATAGATCATTCTTTCATTCCACTGAGCACCCTTTGCACTCACAGATGAACAACTAGGGACAAGGCAGTCAACAGCACTTCCTCTGCAACTGTTCTGCCCAAAGAGACAGGCAACCATTCCTATGGAGAGACACTTGACTGCACAAAGAGATTTTCAGAGCTGAGAGATACCATAAGAAGAAAAACTTTGCAGGGTGACCTGCTAAAACACTCCCACTTTATTTGCCAATTCCCATTTCATGGGATTTTTTGCATGAGCCTGAGTTGGTCCACTGCAGGATTTTAGAGTTTAGCTGAGGGTCTAATGTCTCCAGTGAGCTGTTCCGGCTGAACTGCTACATTAATAGTGGTGCTGAGCAGCAGTAGCCCAATCTGGAATCTTTGGGCCCTCACCTATCTGCAGATAAAAAACAAAGGAAAAATGCCTGACTTGAAGAGCACATAATCTGAAAGAAACTGTGGGGAAAAAAAAAAAAGTTTGTGAGGGCATGTAACAGCAGAAAATGAACATGGTATTTGCTGACAGGTAGGATTCTGAAGGTGCTGGAGTAGATGCAGCCCTCTAGATTGCAGCTGAAATACTGAGAGGTGACAGTACAGTTTTGTTCCTTTGAATGCAGTAGGAGTGAAAGTGCCTCAGATACATGTGCAGAAGCTCTCTGGGGGACAGAAAAGCCTGGGAGTGGTGATGACAGCTCTTGTCATCTCTATCTTGGAGATTTTAAGAACTTGAAAAGGCTCTCAGCAATTTGATCTAACTTTGCAGTTGGCTCTATTTTGCACAGGAGGTTAGATCTGGTGGTCTGTGGTCGTTCCTTGCAAACTGATGACTCTGACACTGTTGCAAGCACTGCAACAATAAACACAAAAACAAGCAGAGTGTGGTGTTTCTCAGTGTGATGTACAGAACTGGAATCTCTGCAGGAAAACTATTTCAATGGAAATGTGCAATTGCACTCACCAGTGTGCTGCCTAAAAAAATTCCCAAAATGTAGTCAAATTCCTAGTATTACAGTTATTTCCTCGAGATTATTTTCTGTGCTCATGTTATTCAAGAGGGCTTGGGTGTGTAAAAAATAATGTAATGATACATAGATAACCACTACCACTAAAAGAATATAATTTCATGATAGTGACAGACCAGATGCTATTCGTCTCTTTTATTCCCCTCATGAAAGGAAGAGAAGTTGCTGTGAAGGTTACTTCTACAATTTTCTGACCAGTTGTGCTGGAGGAACAGTACCTGTCATCTCAAACAATGATTCTCAAACCTTTGAAACCACAGCCTTCATATCTTGTCTTCATATCTTCAGACCTAAATGTAAATGCTTAAGGGAAAAGAGAACACAGTCTGAATAATTTGATTGTTCACCTTCACCTTTCTTCTCTTAATGTAAAACCAGTTCCTGGTTGTATATTCCCCCAACCTTTCCCTAGCATTTTATAAACGCCTTTCAATGCTTGTGTTAAAATTGCAACTCAAAGTTTTTGAAAAGTTGATTTTGTCTCAAAATCACATGGGTTGTAGGCAACTCCTGGAAAACTGTAGTCAGGCAGACAAAATGTCTCTAAATCCTCAATCCCATCTCCGATGTCACAACACACTTTTCAGAGCTGTATGGCCAAGCTGATTTTAGCTATGTTTGTGAAAGGGACAGTCATGCTTCTTACAGCCTCTGCTTAATAGAGACCCTCACACCACCAGTAATATCACTTAGTTTTCTTAATGATGATACTAATTTTCTCTGGGAATTCTCTTCTGTCAAGGATGTTGCTTGTAGGAAACTCTTCTATCCCTAGCTATTGGGCTGTCCATTTTCCAGTCTAAGCCAAGTAATCATCTACTGTGATGGTGAAAGTCAAGGAGAATATTTGTTCCAGGTGTAGTAAATAGTGATGGGAAAATCCTCAGATAATGTTGGTCAGCTGGCTTCACTGGTTCTCTACTGTAACAACAAATAAGGAAGGAATGTGAAACTAAGAGGATGGAAAGGAAAAAACCACTTGTTAGGGCAAAGTTGTTTAAAGCAAAGAACAATAATAATAAACTCTCATTAACTTGCAAACAGGTGAAAATCTGGTTTCAGAATCGGAGGATGAAATGGCGAAACTCCAAAGAAAAAGAAGTGCTTTCTAACAGGTGCCTCCAAGAAGAAGGTCTTCAGGAGAACTACCTCTCACGATCCACCATGAATTTTACCTCCCCATGCCCATCTGTGTGGGAAATGTCTGAAGAGCGGGCAAGTCCAAGGTGGAGGGAGAATTCTCCAGGAAATCCTGAAAGACTGAATACTACACAACCACCTCCAAGAGCAAATTCATTGCAGAGCCCACTCTATTTGTATCCTGACCAAGACACGGCAAACAAGGCATCATCAAGTGTAAGGGAGTAGGGGCAGTTTGTAAATGGAGTGGGAGAATGCAGGCTTCAAATGAGCAGTCTTTTAAGATTAACAATATTTGAACATTGTAAAGCTAACTAGTTTATGCTTCAAAAATATGCTAAAGTCTAACACCATTAAAATTACAAACAACTAATGACTAAAGAAGCATTCTTCAATATACAGTCTTTTCTTGTGTCTTTTCCAGTCTTGTACTGACCTTAAAGGTAAAATAGGAAATGATGGTAAGTAAAATGAAGTGAAGAACATGAAGCTGAATTTGTGCTCTGATTTATACATCTGCACTGTATATGATGCTCATTGAAAACACTAATAGAGACTCACTTTTATCTCTCATTGTAGTCAAACCAATTAATTTTTTTTGTGCATGAGATAAAAAGAGCTCGTCTCTCAAGACAGTAAGTGGGTTTGAGTTCTTTTAGAAATTCATTAAATAACACAATAGATTCATATGGACAAATACAAGTATTTTGATGTATTTTCTCCATCAGTCTTCACCTATGTCAGTATTCAATTAGCTTTAAATAGTATGGTCACAGGTCAACTGATAACCTCAGTAAAGTTATGCAATATTACAAGACAACCAACCTAGTCTATAAAATGTTCCATTTTTAAGTAACTCTGATGAGAGTGTGTACTGGAAAGTGCAGTTCACTGGCTTCTGTCTTTCTGTCCATGCATGAATCTACTAGCATTCTTAACTTTGAATTGCAGTGTCTTTTTTTTGGCTGTTGGTAGAATCTTTAGTATTTCAAAACTGTAATGACAATGTGCAGAATTATAGCCAAAAATGCACGAAGCAACACACCCATAACTGGAAAAATTGCTACTACAGCCAGTTCAGAAAATTACTTATGGAGATGATGTACCAATAGTAGCATTATTCCTGGCTTACTGCTGTTTAAACTGGTGCCAGTAAGGACACATTAGCATATATCTGTATCAAAGATAGGACAGTATTCTCTGTAATACAAGTAGTCTTGAATATTGTTAAAGCTACTTAAAATTATTTGCTTTCTTAATCCAGTTTAAGGAGGTCAGTCTATGAATTTAGGTGTATCTTTCTTTGTTTTATTTGGAAATCTTTATAGCTCAAAATGGAAGCATAGCATTAATTTTCATTTTCATGCATTTATGGATGCTTTTATTGAGAAGAGAGACTAAAGATATTTTATGTTACAGGCAAAACCTTATGGAGACCATTATGGTTTTATAGGGACTTTTTTCTTTCTGGCATTCATACATTTTATAGGCGAAAGATTATGATAATCTAGTCTGGTTTTTTTTATCATATATGCCTTGAATGTTTCTGATTATTCTTGCCTTGACCTTCAGATATTTTGAACTGTATTGTACATCTTTCAAAAAGCCGTGCAATTGTTGTGAAGTTGTTATTTAATGCTTTACCTTTTGATAGATGATTTACTAGTCCCCTTGTTACATTGTATTATCTGGGAGATGAAGTTTGGATACATCTGCAGCTAAAAAACTTGAGATTGCAATGATGATCCTTATATCATAACATTTATGCATGATAAGGTGAGTTTTGTGCCTTGCCTTGTGCATGTCCTGCCATCTCAGTGGCCAGATATGCAATCCTAGTCTTGCATTATGTGGCATTCCTTGCATGTGGTTTCCTCTGCTTGATCTAAAGAAAAAAACAAATTACAGAAGAACTAAGAAGTTATCTCTTCCTGCATATACAAATCTTCATTAGTGTAAGCTGCCTCAACACCTACCCTCAGAAAGCCCTTGAACACGTGTTGTATACTGGTCAGTAATGAGAGGAGTTTATTCCTCTCTTGCAGTTGAAATCCCAGAACCAACTCAGATTCTGCAAGAAACATTTGGTGGGGAGGAGAACAGACAGATTGTGTACACATGGGGATGAATTTGATGTTGAAATCCTGCCCTGTTTGACCAGCTCCTGCCTGAAGAACCGGCTCGGGTTAGTAGCCCAGATGGTTGTGAAATTGCATTGCAGGTATTTCTAGAGAACCATCTAATGATCAGGTGGTGGTATATACATGTGCATCTGTTCATCAGTGCTTCCCATTTTGGAGGAAATCTGTATGGTAGGGGTTGTGGGTTTTTTTTAATCTCACCTTTAATGGAAAGGGAGCCTTCCCAGCTGCTCATATTATTTTACTGCAAGTCAGTGAAGCCTCAGTGCTAGAAGCAACACTTTTGGAGATGGGAGATGCAAATCAGGATGCTTCTTGGGAAATTCTTTCAGTTCATGGTGTTGCAAGCACAAAATGTGACCTACTGTCAAAACTGAGCTGATGTGCTGAACAGAATACATCTGAAGGCTGTCTCACTGAGGCAAAGATCAAGCAAAGCTCATGCAGCATTGGTTGTAATATTACAGGTGTTTTTAATTCAACAAATTCTGGTTTCACTGTAGCCTGTTAAACTATTTCAAGGTTCTCCAAATCTCTTAACACCTCCTATCAGTATTCTTATTTTACAGCTAGAGTGAAGTTTCAGTATGCCAGATAAAAGATTCTTTATCTGAAAATGCTGACCAAGCTTTATAAAAAAACTCTAAAAGTATACATGCAAATCTTGAATTATATGTAAAATAGTCTGATTAAATTATGATTTAGGTCCATGAGACACACAATTTTGATTCCTCTGATTTTATGCTGTATAAAGGAGAAGTTTCTCATCAGTCCATACTGTGAAAGCTTAGTAAATGAGAAATAGCACCCTGTACAAATACAAAAATATATTTTCAGTGCCAATCTTTTCTTTGTGAAGGATCAAGTGGTATTTGGTTTCTTCAAATACAGTATGCATACTAGTTTTAGAAAGAACACTGAAAGCACAGGTATGCAAAGTGCCCAGCAGATATTTGAACTGTGTCATAACAGATGCATTGCAGAGATGAAAGGTGTAGTGCAGCTGGTATAAGGAGTGACATGGTAGATACCAGTGACACCTAGGTTAAAACCAGCAGTGTGCTACTTGGACTTCAGAGATTTGACCTGATGGCTGATCTTGCAGCATGGCTGTAGAGTATCTGAGGTATTTCCTGTATGTAGCATTTTGAGACTATAGTTAGCAGCTGTGGCGTATTATGATGGACATTTATTGAGATCCTAGGAGTGGGGAGAGTTCAGATACCTGAAATTGCAAACCACAGTTAAAAACCTCATCTCTTCAGAGGCTGCAAACAAAGCAGATACTTATACTCACTGGGCACCTCTCTGTTTGTTCTGGCAACTTATCAATGCTAATGTAATACAGAATACAACAAGGAAAGGGAGGAAAGGCTGAGGCTCAGTACTCGCTTTGTTAACTGAGCTGCAGACTTCCATGTTCTCAGGCTGTGCTGCTGACACAGAGATCTCACTGCCCAGCCCAGCAGCCTCAGGAACAGAAGAGACTTTTCTCATCCCACCTATTGAAGATCCTCCATATGCGTCTGAATGTGGATCGTGAAAGTATGTTCTTAAAGTCAGGCAGAGGACCTTCCCTGATACCTAAGAAGAGGCTGCTGATTTCCTTCTAAGCTCTTGGACTTTTGAAATGTATCACAATGCAGATTTTTTCAGTCTCTATCAGGCACAGCCACAGTCATGTTTTACTGCATGTGAATAACTGTGAGCCTGTGTACATGAAAGGCTAGCTAGCTCCTCCATGGACCTCATATAACATTGTTAAAAGCTGGATTTGATGACCACAGGTATGTTAGCACTTAAACTTGTACTTATTTACAGTATAAAATGGTTTTCTGAAAGTTACCTTGTTTTTATCGATCCTTTGCCAAACAGGAAATAAATGTTATGATCTGCTGAGAAAAGGGCTGCTTTAAGGCACAAAACTGCATTACTAACTTCAGTGTCAGAACAGTAGTACAAAGGTCAAATGTCACTCCTGATCTTCACTAATACATCATATTTGTTTTATCTGCTGTGATTTACTAGTACTGGGTTTTAAATACCAGTTGCCATCACTGTAGCCACACATCTCTGATGAATGTATGTTCTGCAGTCAAAAGACTGACATAAATTAAGTACATTCACATGCTTCAGTACCCTCTACCAACTAGACTGTTACTGATTTTCACATACTAGAAGGAAAGACAAACCAATTTCATGATCATAGCTGTAAATCCAGTGCCTTTAGAAAGGAATAGAGAGGCATTCGAGTCCAATTAACTTATGACTCAGCTTTGAACCACGGGGAGACCTACAGAGAAAAAAGCCCCTAAAGAGAAAGGTTCACAGTGGATGAAATTCTTGTGGACTGAGGAAGTCTTTAAATGAGTGTGCTTCTAAGCTATGTGCCTGGTGACTGCTGCTCACCTTTACTGTAAGGTAAAGTGGGATAGTCAAACCTGGGTCTGAAATTCCCCCATGCAGACTTGTACCAAAATTCATGGCCAGAGAATGGCAACTCCTTGTTTTTATATTGGTTGTAATTCTGTGCACTGAAGCTGGGCATGGTGGACAGGGATGTCAGAAGGTAGCATCTCTATAGTGATCTTCCAGTGCTTTCTAAAGCACACAGAAATGCCACTTTTTATAAGCATCCAACCCTTGAGGAATTCTTCAGTTTTTCCAAGTAATTTTTATTTACAAGTCAATATTTGAATGCAGGTAGCAGAACATGCATGTATATTGTGCAGAGAAGACTGCTTCAATTTGTTTCTGTTTTGCAGTCATGGGTTTAGATAAGAGCTAAACTATGAGTGACATTAGCCACTTAATCTACCATGGCAACATCAGCACATACAAGATTCAGTCTAAATTTAAGATACGCCATCAATACCATTTAGTGCATTATGAAAGGAGCAAAATGAATTTTCAGACACTGGGAGGGTCTCTGTTGCATCCTTCATCATTCTGAAAAAATGGAAACATGATGAGGAAATCACTGACCTGCAAAAGCCAGTTCTAATAATTGACAAAAAAAATAATTGGACTGTACAAAAATGTCAGTATTCTGGGATTATCCTGCAGTGCTTCATGGAATAAGGTCTGAAGAACAATGGAGATGTTTTTAATTCTTAAATTTATTTGGTTGGCAAGAAAGTTTAATGGAAACAGATTGTTTCACAAATGGAAATTATACCATTACTTGCCTATTTTGTTGCACATAACTGGAAGTCAATCCTGATTTTCTGATTTTCCATTAGTTTACAGAATTGTTTCTCCTAAATTAATATTTGGATATAAAAGTGATGGATTCTCAAACTCCAAAGCTTTTGGTAGTAGCACACGATTTAGCATTATCAAATTCTCCTAACCATTTGTGCTGCTGTCTTGGAGGAAATCATGCAGGAGATGAAGTATTCCCCTGTGCAGAAAGCAACCATCACTGTATTTCTGTTTGAGGCATCGGTGGCCACAGAGAAAAACATGCCCTTTTCAGCCCATTGCTCAGTTGTTTCCTCAATCACAAGAGGAAGCAAAGCAATGCCAGCAATATAGGAAGTCTTTTATTTTACCAACATGCCTCGCTTCAGCCAAAGGCAAAACTGAAATATAACACTAATGAGGATGAATGACTGTGGATAACACTTCGGTGCACTGTTCCTCGTGTGCCACCCACTATCTAATTTTCTCGGTTTTCACATTTCTGTACAGAAAAACGTTCCCAGGGTTTAGCACTTTGGCCGAGGTGCGAGTTTTTTGTATGACCTGCTCCGTTTGCGAGGTTTTCCACCTGACCCTCAGCTGCACCCTTGGGACGTCCTGCCAGCCGCGGGTTCGGCTATTTCTGAGTCACCATGCAATTCGCTTGCGGTTACTTGCCACCAGCCATGACCATCAGGGCACGGCCACCTCCCGGGGGAACACGGCCGCCTCCCACCCTGTCAGCCCCGTCCGCGGGGCCCCGGGGAGCGGGGCGGGCCACAGCCGGTCCGGAGGGAGCTTCCTGCCGGCAGCCGCTCGGACGCAGTGCCCCCGCCCGTGTCTGTCACCCCTGGCCGCTGACTGTGTCGGTACGCGGCAGTGCCCTGGCACCGCTTGTCTCCCGAGTGAAGGCGCTGCAGCGCCTGGGAGCCAGCAGTGACCCCTCGCTGCCGCGGGGCTGCTGTGCTCCGCCACTGCGGCTGCACCGGATGGCCGCATTAATGATACAGCTATTAATTGCTACTACATCTTCTGTGAACACAGCTAGATGCAGGCAGTGTGGGCATCCCCCTCTGGTTCTGTGTGTTTGCTCAGAGCCTTCCTTTGCTCTCTTTGGAGCTGTGTTTGGTTTCCAGAATTTCCCCAAAATCTGCCCATGAATGCTGCTATTTCATGAGGTGTTTGTGGTATCTTACTGCATAAGGAACTGCAGCCACTAACTTGACTTCAGGGCAAGCACAATGTAAGCCATTGCTTTTCTACTATACTTGGCAGAGCAGGGACCAGATGCAAATTGTGACCACTCACAGCTTCTAGCTGCAAAAGTACAGCAGCCATCTACCTGGTAGGAGATATCTGAGGATATTTGCAGTTACAGGCATGTAACTAAAGTGTTGTTTCTCTGGTCTGCATAAATGCTTCTTTGACATCTTTCTCTGCTAGGTTTCTCAAGCCCAAATGTAGTATCGTTATTAAAAAATCATCAGCATTTTACTCCTCGTTCTTGCTTGCCTGAGCTCCTGCTACTGTCAGCAACCATCAAGATCATGAAAGGCCAGAAAAGAGCACTTAGTGGTAAAAAAGTCAAGAATATTAAAAATAAATCCATGTTGATTATATCTACTTGTTCAAATGTCTCAGGCTCTGAATGCAAAGAAGTTTTGTTGAATGCACAGCCAGCAGCACCACCCTGCTGCTAGGAAAATGTGATTTCCTTAAAATATCTGACACCTTTCATATTTTATTTGCAATAGAGTTTGTAATCATTACTGTAAAACCCAAGAGCTGTGGCAGCATGTGGAATGGGAAAGAGACTTGTTGTTACTCCCTGCTCAGCCCTTAGACTGAAATGCTATTTGGACCAGAATTCTGACTTACTTTTCACAAACTTTTTCTTTAGGAGTTTGCACTGAAATCAGTGAAGCCATTACAGACATAAAAGAGCATTCAAAATGAATAAAAATACTAGATTTTATGGGACACATATGAAAGCCCTCAGAAATCAGTAAGAAGTATGACGTGAATATAAAAGTCTGGCATAGGCCCTGCAGTTAAATGAGCTGATCAACATCAGTGCCCCTCTTCAGTGTTAATAAATATTCTGCAGGTGGGTATATATGTAGAAATGAGGGAAAACATTTTCTTTAGGTAAAATACTTTATTGATAGTATACAGATGTACCAAGGTTTAACAGGTTGAATCTTACTTTCAACTATGTTGTACCTATGTTTCAGCTTCTGTAAGGCTTTCCACAAGGTCCCATTTGACACCCTTATCTCCAAATTGGAGAGACATGGGTTTGAAGGCTGGCCTATTTGGTGGTTAAGGAATTGGCTGGCTGGATGCATCCAGGGGATTGTGAGCAGTGGTTCTTATGTCCAGGTGGAGGCCAGTGACATGTGGTGTCCCTCAAGGTTCTGTCTCTTGGGACTGGTGCTCTGCAGTATTTTCCTCAATGACACAGACAATGGCATGGAGCGCATCCTCAGTAAGTTTGCAGATACAAAGCTGAGCAATGCAGCTGACACAACAGAAGGAGGGGATGTCATCCAGGGGAACCTGGACAAGCTTAAGAAGTGGGCCCACAAGAACATCACAAAGTCTGAGATTGGGCATTATTTAGCTTATAGAAGAGAAAGCACCAGGGAAAGCTCATTGCAGGCTTACATGACTCAAAGTTTGTTCATAAAAAAAGAGCGAGAGCAGTTTGTACACGGATAAAGAGTGATAGGATAAAGGGGAATGGTTTTAAACGAAAATAAGAGAGATTTAGATTAGATGTCAGGAAGAAGTTCTTTATTCAAAGGCATGGTGAGGCACTGGAATACATTGCCCAGAGAAATTGTGGATGGCTCATATCTGGAAGTGTTCAGGGCCAGCTTGAGTGGCGCCCTCACCAACCTGATCTAGTGGATGGCATCCCTGCCAATGGCAGAGTGGGGAACTCGGTTGGAACTCGATGATCATGAAGGTCCCTTTCAACCCAAGCCATTCTGTAATTCTGTGTATTTATCTAAACTGTGTGAATCAGTCATAGTACAGTCTGCCACAGAGTAACTTGCAACAACATTTATTTATCTAATGCTAGAGCACTCCTTTTTATTGGTGCATTAACCAGCATACACACATGAGGCATTATTTTGTATTTCATCTGTATTGGTCAACTGTGTCAGCTTCCAAAGGATTTTAAACACACTTTCCTATTAAAATTACTGTGAAAGTGGAAATTTAGAAGTTCTAGGGGTTTTTTAAATCTTTATAAACAACATGCTGAAGACTACTTGTCAAGGGATTAGAGTTTAGCAACTATTTTCTGGCATAATCCTACATTTGAGAATTTTTAAGTAGCTTTGTACTTTATTGGAATCTCTCCTAAAACAGTGAATGAAATCAGAGTCACTCATCATGTTTGCTTCATTACTAATTGATAAACCAGTTCCTTCAGATGATGCCATTCCATTTAATGAATTGCTGATGATCCCCATTGACTGCATCTGTATTGAAAACAGGAAAAGAAGTTCAACTTGTAACTACACATACAACAAGTCTTGAAAATACTACTGCAGAAGACAACTGAGGTCTCACTCCATTGGGCTGTGCTATTCCAGATCTTTCACATACTTACTGAAGATGTATGTAAAGGTCCTTACATAGAATAAAATTGTTTTTTTATCCTAATGGTATCTCTGCAACTTTTAAACTAGACTGAAATTTCTTGATACACTAGAAATGAATACTTTATCTGAGTTTAAGTAGAGGAACCTGTTTGGTAATCCTTATTTCCTCTTGAAGAATTATAGCAAATCAGTCTTGAGATTTTTTTAGCCATTTATTTTGGTGCTTTCTCTGAAGGGATGCTCCTAACCGTGAGCATCCACCAGTGCTGTTTATTTAACCTGGTGAATTCTACAGACTGTGATCACCTCTCAGAGTAGGTGCTTCACAACATAAGCAAGTTTAGAATTCTCCTAATTTTAAACAGAAAAACATAGATGCAAAATATGGTATACATTAATTTTTGTAATTATATTTCTACCCTGCGTAGAAATATCCATGGTACAGAGAAATCAATACTCCAGAGATTTCCCTCTTAGTAATAGCTTCAAAGGTGTTTTAGAAAAAATAAAGCATGCAAATACACCAAAAGAGTATGCCTAGTTTAGACTTTGCTTCAGCTACAGAATGAAGCAAAGGTCAAGCTTTGAGGTTGAAGACTTCTGAACTTTAAGGCCATTTTAACCCAGAACCATGGCTGCATGGCTGCATTCCGATGATGGAGTTTCTGTTTGTAACTCTGAGTTACCCTAAAGAAGGCTGCATTTTATGGTAGAGTAAAATTCAGCTTATTCTAGTGATGAGCTGCTTACTGTTTTAAAACTTGTATTCCTCACCTGTGTTCATAAAGTTGAGAGGTGATCTGCTAGTGTAAGATACTAGTTTATTAATCACTCTTTTTTTAGTGAAACAGACTCCCTGGCAGTGTAGGCATTTTAGAGAATGGGCACACAGATTTTATTTGTTCAGCCAAAACCACAGTTAATTTTAGATATAAATGAACAAAAATTGCAAAGGTTAGGACTTCAAGATAGTAATGAGAAGACAGAAATGGAAACAGCAAAGAATTTAATCCAATGATTTATATATAATCTGCCATAATTTGGAATGGAGTTTTGAAAATGTTTTGTGACTGACATCAGACTTAAGCAATGCCACTGTTGTCTTGAAGAACTTATCCCAGCATAAAATTATTGCCTTAGGAAGGAGCTCTTTGCATCAGACAGCAGTGATACTTGAATTGCATAGAATGTAAATACAAATAAAACTTAACACAATTATTAAGCATTTTTATGGTCTACCCACATTGTCTCTCCTGGCCTAGAAAACTCAAGTCATTACTGGCTCATATATGAAGATACAAAAGGCTCAAGCATTTGTACTTGTGTGTGTTGTTCATATATGTCATATTAATAAAATGTTGCCTCACAGATATGCACTCCTAGGTACATATCTGCCAATCTATAGCTAAGTCACATCCTGTGACAGGAAGACACTTTGCTAAAGTATCTTTAACAAAGTCCTGCATTTTACTGAATAAGAGCCTCCAAATCCAAGTGGGAGCAGACATCGCCTCCTCCTGGAAGTCACCCATGCCACATAACTGATATAAATAAAAGCTACATCGAAAATCTTGCCTTTTCTGTTACTTTCTCGACTCCAGTCTTCAGCTCATGTACCATATTGCTGATTTGCCTAGCTTTGCTAAGGCTGTCATCAGGTAGCTCTTGATGGTGCTCAATATGCTGGTTAAAGTGGGAAAGTGGTTCTTTCCAGGCTTGCAGAAGTTTCAGTATCACGTGAGTTAGTTCTTCTCTCTTATAAATTGAAACAGTAGAGAATGTGTCTGTTACTTTGCAGCAGATCATATGAATACTCTTAGTCTCATGATGAAATCTCAGTGGGATCAAGATTTATATCTGCAAATCACTTCTAAAACACCACTCTGTCTCTGGTTATTTGTATATATATATAATAACACCCAGAAGTTGTATTTGTCATGTTTTCAGCTAACATGAGCAGGGCCTCATCTCTCATTGCCCTTCTAGGGGACCTTCTAGAAGGACGTCCTGGGGGAAGCTCCTCACTCCATCACAACCAAAAGCCAAAATATTAGCAATTATCTTTGTCTGTCTCCTAGAGGCAAAAGTTTCTCCCACTAGTTTGTTGCCAACATCACAATTTGCTTTTTCTCTGTAGGAATAAACTCTTCCTACTCTTCCCCAAACTAATAACGATTTTTTTCTCTTTGCCATCACAACTCTGATGTAAACAAATTTACTGTTCTTTTCCCCTTACCTAACTACCGATTCAGAGATGATTGTTATACCTTTCTCCTGATTGCTTTTTGTACTTTGCAGTGATACTGATTAATGTGACTTCTTTGCCACACACACAAGTTTCTAAGTTTCTGTTCCACTGAGTATGCCTCAACAAAATCAAAGGATGTTTGTCAGTCATTCTGACAAAGTACTACTGCAATATCCTTATTATAACTAGTGTTTATGATCCAATTTTAGGTACCACATACAGATTTAAAATTCAACTAATTAAAGATTTATATGCAATACCTCTGTGATGTGCACCTGTTTGGTGTCAAAACTTAGCAGCCTCTTTCATCCAGATTGTTGATGAAGCTCCGGAAGCATAAAAACCTCTCTGCCTATCTCCAGCTCGACTGGAGTGGGGGACCATTGCAGCATGATGAATGAGATATTTTAGGGTTCTGACAGGACAGGAGGTATATAGGAACCCTCTCCAGGGTGGGGAGAAAAAAGGCGGTGTGACCGCAGAGTCCCTTCCCGTCCCCCAAGCCTCGCAGTACCCCCTTCTGCCCTGTCTCTGTCCGTCGGCGCCGCCCTTGCCCTTACCGGGATTTTTTGGGCGTATTCTTTGCCGTTGGGGGTCAGCATCCCCGACGTGTGGCACTTCCGAGCGGGCCTTCCCAGCTCGTTGTCACGGGGAGGAAAGTGTTTTTCCTGCGGGGGAAGAACACCTAAACGAGCACCGAGAGCACCTTTTCCCCCATCCCGCCCGTCGGCCGCCGCTCCCCGCTCCCAGGGCGGCGCAAGCCCGGCTCCGCGGCGGCGGGGCCGGCCCGGCACTCACCAGCTCGGCGTAGAGCGCCGTGGAGAGGCTGTGGATCCTGCCCGAGTGCCGGATCACCCGGTCGAAGAGATCGGCCACGGTCAGAGGGTGACAGCCGGCGTCCCCCGGAGCGCCGAGCAGCAGCCACAGCAGCGCCAGCGCCGCAACCGCATCTGCAGAGAGGGCGGCGGCGTCGGGGCGAGGAATGTCGGGGTGCGCCCCCGATCGCCCCCACCTCGCCGCCCGCCCCCTCACCTGCTCGCCCCGCCGCCCGGGCCAGGGCCACGGCCATGGCGCTGCGGAGCCCCTGGCGGCACGGAGCGGCTGCGATCGGCCGGCGATGCCCCCGCAGCTCCTATATATGCCGGGATCTCACGGGGGGGACGGGTGTCTCCCCTGACGTGCGCGGCCATCGTGAGCCAGCCCGCCCGGAGCGGGGCTCGCGGCTCGGCGGGCGGACGGGACCGAAGGGACAGACTGCCCTCGGCAACCCACAGGGCCCGGCAGGAATGGAACTGACTCCTGGGCTCGGTGGTGGGGCTGCTACAGACCCCCAGAGCCGCCCGCCCGTCACAGCCCTCCCCTGGGCAGAGGGGGGCGGCTCCGCGCCCCCGCACAGAAGTGGCGCGGTCGGGTCCGTCCCAGCGCGTCCGAGGGGGTAAGGGTGGGAGAAGGGAGACCAGGAAAATAAATTGCTTATGCTCGTGTTAACGGGGTTTATAAAAGGGCAGGAATGGGCAAAATGAGGGGTAGGAGAGAAGCCTGGTCTGGTGACATTCATCCCTTAGCCGTCTTTTCAAATCACGCTGTTATGTTCAGATCTGCTGTTCCTGCTCCATTGCAGGTGGTGAGAGGTAAGACTGCTGAAGATGTAATAGCTGGTGAATGTGTGTTTGGTGGTGCAAATATACCTCAGGATGGTTGATCCCATGAGGCTAAATGCTCAGGGAGCAGCGCAGCAAAGGACCTAGATCAGGATCCCTAAAGGGGTGCAAGTCCTGTGGACATGGTTGGTGTCCTCTATTTTGGGGCACAAGATCCTGAGCAACCCTCAGGACATGTAAGAAAAGTTGAGATGCTTGTCATGAGGAAAATTAGTTGACTCTGCCCTTCTTACTAGGGTTTTTCACTGCCAGGGGAAAAGTCTGCTTAGAAATGAGGATACATGTGACATGAAATTATCTTTTCTCCTCAGCCATTATGCTGGAGTTATGTATCTGTTTTCTAGCCCCTGAATCCTGATTTCATTTATGGAAAATGGAGGGAATATACCTCTGCCAGAATGATGAATATCATCCCTCTCCCCACCTTTTAAGGGCAGCTGGGTGACTAGAACTCATTCTGGAGGTAGAAGACATGAGTTTGACTAGTTCTTGGCCAAGGTGAAAGGAAGCTCTGTCACCTATATTCTGTGTGGGTACTAAAAAAAAGTGGTAGAAAACAAGTAGAGGTAGCTACTTCTCTAGCCTGATCTTAAAAGTAATTGTCTGCCACTGCTTCTGCATAAAGTCAAGAGGCATTTCCAAAGGACCTGTGTTTTAACCCCTCATTTTTTAGAGTTTCTAAAGTTAATTTTAAAACCAGTTTACTAAGATGTGCCTAATGACAAAAACAATGCAGATGATTTCAGGTGATTTCAGTTTAGTTCTGCTGAGCCAGTTCTTACTGGGGACCATACCACTATGGCTATAGCTCTGAGTTGTTTGCTAGCTGATAAATTGCTTAATGGCTTGTGGTCCAGCTTGGAATATTAATATTAATTAATAGTTAGGGTTGGAATATTAATAGTAATTAATTCTAATAATTATCATAAAACAAGCAATCGTGCATATGACAGGATCTGAAAGCCATTGGTAGTCTGCATATGGGAAACACATGGATCACTAACTTACTTTTTTTGGCCAATAGCCATTTTCTTTTCTTTTTCATGTGTCTTGGAGAAATCCTGATATATGCATATCTTAAAAAGGTTTCTTGAAATATTAAATTTTTAAGTTCTGAAGGAGCAATGAACTTGAACTCTGGAAAATGTAAATTACTTGGACAGCAGCTCTGCCCCTTCCAGCTTGCCAAAGATTTATAGTGCAAGATCAGCTGGAGTTCATTACGTATTCAAGAATCAATCTTGAGTTTAGATCAGGAAGGAGTAAAAGCTGGAATGAAAAGCTTTGTTTCAATCAAATACTGTCTACTATGGATTTGAACCTTTTCCTATAACAACAGGCACATTTTACAGCTCAAGAAGGGAGATGTCACACACTTCTGCTCTGAAAGTTGGCAATACAAGCTCTTGAATAAAACAAGATGAAGACTATGTAACCTGGATCTTAAAAGGAAAATTAAGCTACCTTCTTAAAGGAGTAAACCACTTTCAGAAGGCTGGGTCTCAGATCTGTGTTTTTTCTGACTTCTGTAAACAGAATCACTTCATGTAGAATTGACTTTTCTCTTCTTCTCTGCTCTTCTCTCTCTTCTCTATGGAAACAGCTGTCCAGTTCATGTCTCCCTGCTTTCATGTAGTAATCAACTTGCTGATTTTCTTGATTTGATTGTGTTGATTTGTGTTGCTCTTGGTTGTTGCAATCTTGAGACTCTGAAGACAATACAAAGTAAGTAAAAACACATAGTATTTTTCATTAGATCTACTGATATAGCTGGGAAAATGGAAACAATGTTTTTAGGAAATGTGAGCTTTTTCAAAGTGAAGCTGAAAAACTGTCTGCTTGATCAACTATTTTTAAAAAAAAATATATTGTTTGCAAACCTCATCTTGCTCTGGGTTATATATTTCTTGCCTTTATATCTTTCTACTTCTCCTTCCCCTTTCACACAGTACAAACAATTTTTAGTTCTCTCATCTTAAAGCAACTGGTTCTTGTCTCCAGTTATCACTCTGGGCAAAATCCTTCCCTATCCTCCATCTCATTAAATAATTTCACCCACTGAGAAGTTGCTTCATTCAGTAATTCACTAATCTCTGGTGGTGCATGGTTTTGCCTGTTGATTCTCAGCTGAGATCAGGGTGATCAGTATAGACTGAGCTAGTGCAGGGAAATCTCATTTTCTGTTTGCAAATGTAGTCCAAGAGCTGATGGAGCATGTGCTTGATGCATCAAATGGAGCTGGTGAGCTGCTTCTTTTTCTACTCCTCTGCTCCTCGTACAGATATTGCATTTTTGCCTCCCTTGGGGCTACAGAGATGTCTACTATTTGTGACTGTGATTGTAGCACACAAGTAGAGAGAAACATGTTTTTGAAACATCTGCTCTATTCCAACCCTCTGGAGGAGATGAATTCCGTAGCTGGTGTGCTGGCTACTCATGAGAATGAACTTCTGTGCTATTTTAGGCGAGACCTGTATGCACATAATTAAGTAAAACTGAAGACACAGACCCAGTTACAAATTCAGGTGCTTTAAGTTCTGGATCCCTTCATTATTATTATAATGTTATTTCACATCCTGCTAAAGTGGTAGAATCAATTCTGTAAGGACAGATTGCAGTCTATGTGGAGTGTCTGAGCAGAATATTGCCATGCTAAAAAAACAGATATTACTGTAAATCAATGATTTTCACCATACTAAACATCATGCAAGTCAAGTGGGAAAATCAATGTCTTAATGCTTTATTTATGATTTTTTGTTTTTAGGATACTGTTTCAATTTATTTTTTAAGAGGAGAACATTTCTGTTCTCATCTCTGTTGGCTTCAGTGTGCTTAGTTATATGTGTGAATTTAGATCTATCTGATAGAAGATTTACTTAATATTGATTTTGAAGGACAGATCGAATCACAGGAAAAATAGGTGAAAATTCTGATTCTCACTGAAACTTGAAAGTGTAATACACCCTATGAAAACTTAACTTGGAATTTTAGGTCCTTTCCTACACAGATTTTTGTTTGTGAAATTTAATTATTTCAAATTTATATTATACGTTTTATATAAAATTTTGTATATTTCAGTTTTGCGGTTGGTCTTGAATATATTCTGGAGAAACAAATTGGATCTGAGCATGAAAGGTAGGATCTATACTTAAAATATTTAATACTATTTAGACAATGGAACTTTAGGAGAATAAAAGTTCTTCGTTCTGGGATGTTCAATTCCATTGAAGAATACGCATACTTATAAATGCAAAATATTTATAAAATATATTAAAATATTTGAAAAATAGAAAGACATGATTGAATCCTACTGCTTGAATATTTACAGATGTTCTTACTGTCTTAACATTACTGAGAGAGGTGAGGTGTTATATTTTACCAGCTGCAGATTATGGAAATCCTACAACGGAACTTCATCTTCCTCTAAACCACCATAAAGGAAACCAGTCTTCTCAAAAGAAGCTGCACCCTAGCTATAAAGGTGCATCATCCTGCTTTCTACTTCTGACAGTGTCCATATAGCACAGTCTACATGATGTGCTGTAATAATACTAAGTATTTCAAGCTTAGCTGTATTTCTCCTGATAGGAAGTGTGTCACTGCTGTGTCAAGAGGATCAGTATTAACATAATAAAAAGATGTGTTAAATTTTAGAGGAGATGGGCTTATATTTGAACAATTTTTTTTTTTGTAGAGGAAAATAAATTTATGTATTTAATGTTTGTAAGTGCATCAAGCAAAAATGCATTCTTTAGCTCATAATCTGAAATTGCCTGGAGATAAATTTCAGGCAAAGTCATTACCTCAGTTCTGAGAATTTTAAGGAAATACAGATATCTCTGTCACACAAAGGTGGCAATTTCAATACCATGTCCCGATGCCCACTCAAATCTCTAATCAGCTTTGGCTGACTTTAATAAACACAGGGTTAGACCATCATGCTGGTGTAGTTTCACTGACTTTGGTGTATTTACTTTTGGTTCACTGATGTCACAAAAACTAGGTTTGGGTCCTGACTTTATATTATTGATAAACATTTGCAGTTGAAAATGAACTGCAGCCCCTGGGGTTAATTCTGTAATAATTAGGAAATAAAATTATTTAGAGCATTTAGTGAAGTAGGGAAGAAGAGACTATGACTGTCTACAGATTTGAAATTATGCTTCATTTAAAATGTAACTTCCCATCTGCCACCATATTGAAGTCATCACTGTAGAACAGAATCTTGTCAGAGGTACCAAAAGTCCAGTGTAGTATGGACATAACCTAACTGCAGTTAATTTTAACATCTGTCTAGTGTCAGGTGTTGCCAAGATGTGCCTTCCCAATGACATAATGATATTTTACAGCATAGAGGAGTTGGCAATAACTCAAGCTTTGCTTTGTTCACATCAGGAATCACAGGAGA